AATTGGAAAGATCCCCGAACAATACGACCCCACCCCCGCAGTCAATCTCAGGCACGGTTTGCAGTCCCCAAATGGGCACTTTTTCCCAGTCGCGGACCCACGCCACCTTCTCGTGGGAAGGCTTGGGAACCCTCTGATCGTGATCACTTTCAGATTGCGAGCGGAGGGAGAAACACTAGTTATCAACAACACTCTAACACAGCAGTCGCTGGCACTGAAGCGGGTCGTTATATTAAGGATTTCAGGCGGGCATTATCGTCATTTGTGAAATGAAGGTGTCGGTGCGACCCCTCCCCGCACTTTCGTCTTCTGGTACGAACCTCCTGCCCACCCTACCTACAGCCTTGCTGAATTTTCCCATCTTCACACCACTCTTCCCGACTTCCCTTAAATTCTTCTAGTTTCTCTCGAAACAAAGAACTGGTGATAGGACATTTTCCCACGGATGCTGCACCGTAATCGGATAGACACCAGTAGGGGCGGATTCCCTATTCGGAACGCTCCATCGAGAGATATATAGAGGTCAAGCAAAATCAGTACCCGGTCTGAGGTACACTTGCAGCAGAATACACAGAAAGATTGAAGCAGCCTACATCCAGTTTTTTCAATGACTACCACATTGCCATACCTGTCGTTTCGCTGCCAGTTCCAGCCGTGGTAGGTACAGCGATAAGTGGAAGCATCGGATTCTGTGGCACCAGATTCTTGCCAAACGGTGGACAGACGAAATCAAAGAAGTCCGCTTGTGGATTAGAGCAGTACAAAGCTGCCGCCTGTAATACTTGTGTTCACATGAAGTTCCTTAATTCAAATGAAATGTTGTTAGGAAAGGTTTCACTAGACTGGCAGGACCGACAGAAGTTAACTACAAAGGGCACACTGACCCGTACTTTGGCTATTCTGCCTCACTTCACCAATTGATGCAAAGAGATTCATCCCGTATAGTACGAAATCCTTTTGGGTCTAAGGGGAGGGGGGGGGAAGAGCTAAAGAAATTATGTGGGTTAGGTCTGAGGCACTACGTCCTGCTTGTGGTTTCGGTGATTAAACTCTGTGGGGTCTAGGCTCAGTCAGAAGGATCAAAGATAGACTTCGCTGCTCAACCAGATGGTGGTTTCTCTTCTTGCCGAATAGCCCGCCCACTTTTTAAGGCAGGCAGTTCGGCCACTAAGTTGCGCGTTCCGCCGGAGCGCTCAGCAAAGAAGGAAAGGATCTTAGGAATTGATGGAGCGCAGGATATGACTTCAAACAACTAAGTCTCTAATTGTTTAATTTGGTTGGAAACTTCAAATCATTGCATAAGCGGGACAACTGTGAATGCCACATGGAAGTATATGGCAAACCTCAGATAGAAAAGGAATCAAGTGCACCACTCTACCAGTTCTCGGGACCGAGTATTCAAGGTTTCTAAGAGAACCCTCACAAAATGAGAACGCTACCTTTGCTGTGTCAATTACAGATCCGCCTCCAACAGCTACAAATGAGTCACAACCAGCATTACGAGCAAAATCCACTGCCTGGAGCATACCTAAAAATTCCTATTGGTAGGTCATTAGATGGCGGGAGTTAGATTGTGAGTGGTATTTGTCCATAAAGTAAATGCCATTGAATTTCAAGTCCTCGTGGTGAACTTCAGATTTCCATGACAGATTCATGAGGAGCACTTGTGGTGGAAATGTTATGATTTGTTATCTGTGGCCAATGTCCCACTGAAATCTTACAGAAGGGGCTTGGTGTTTTAGTGGGGCAGAGGTTAAGCACTATGCCTGAAAGTCGCTCTGGACAATTCCAAAGACAAAGTGTACCCTCCTCACCTCCGTGAGTCCTGGTCCTTGCCGCGTGTGGGGAGAATGGGTCCGTAGCTCCAATGGTGTGCCTTTTCCTGGGCTTAAAAGTGTACAAGAACGGCACAGGAGGGTAGCGATTCTCGGAAGCCGTCTCCATACTCCACCCGCGCTGCCACATGGCCGGCCGCATGCCTGACTATAGCCAAACACTTTACTTGTGTGCACCCTCACCCCGCCCTAAGTTTTGGTTGTTTTCTTCAACTGAGTGCTTTTTTCACTCTGGGACCTTGGCGCGAGCCCAGCGCATTGAGGATAGGGGGCGGAGTACGGAGACAGCACACGGTCACCCTGGTTTCACTATTCCCCTGCCCGTTCCCGTGCTATTTGAGCGGAGAAAGTAGCACGCTACTGCAGCTGCTCATCCGTTCACCTCACCTTCATAGAAAGGATCGTCCTCATGAGTGAGTGTACACTTGTCTTCAAGCAGGT